CATGTCAAAAGAGTTTTGATGAATTGAAGAAGAAATTGACCACAGCACCAGTACTGGCTTTACCTTCAAACCATGGAGAGTTTGTGGTGTATAGTGATGCTTCATATCAAGGACTGGGTTGTGTGTTAATGCAAGATGGAAGAGTTATCGCATATGCCTCTAGGCAATTGCGTCCCATGAAGTAAATTATCCCACTCATGATTTGGAGTTGGCAGCGGTGGTATTTGCTCTCAAGATTTGGCGACATTATTTGTATGGTGAGACTTTTAAAATCCTCACTGATCATAAAAGCCTGAAGTATATTATGGATCAGAAGGATTTAAATAGTCGCCAGAGGAGATGGATTGAACTTCTAAAAGATTATGATTGTACAATTGATTACCATCCAGGTAAAGCTAATGTAGTTGCTGATGCCCTAAGCAGAAAGGGGAAAAAGAACATAAATGATCTGGTTGATCTGAGGGCAATGAATGTTGATTTGGAAGTGGATGGTGTAATAGGGTTACTAGCTCGATTGAACATTCGACCTTTGTTGCACGACAAAATTCGTGAGAAGCAGAAGGAGGACTCAGAGTTGGTAAAAATCATTCAAGACATTGAGGAAGGAAAAGAAAGCCCATTTGAAATGGTAGATGGCATGTTGAAGATGAATGGAAGAGCATGTGTTCCTAATGTTGATAACTTGAGGAAAGAGATCCTAGATGAAGCTCATTCTTCTGCTTATGCTATGCACCCAGGAGCAACTAAAATGTTTCACACGATCAAACCATATTTTTGGTGGCGTGGGATGAAAAAGGAAGCGGCTGAACATGTTTTCACATGTCTGGTATGTCAGAAAGTTAAGGCAGAACATCAAGCTCCTGTAGGGAAACTGCAACCACTTCCAATTCCAGAATGGAAGTGGGAAAGAATCACTATGGATTTTGTATATGGTCTCCCATCATCAAGGGGAAAAGATGCAGTATGGGTTATTGTGGACCGACTGACCAAATCAGCTCACTTTTTACCCATTAGATGGAAACCATCACTGGAGACTTTGTCTCAACTATATATTAAGGAAATCGTCAGATTGCATGGTGTGCCAATTTCTATTGTCTCTGATCGAGACCCGAGCTTCACATCTCGGTTTTGGCAAATTTTACATGATGCCTTGGGAACTAAATTGCATTTTACATCAGCTTATCATCCTCAAACAGATGGGCAGAGTGAACGAACCATCCTTACCTTGGAAGAGTTACTTCGATCATGTGTAATGCAATGGGAGGAGTCATGGATTGACCATTTGCCCCTGATTGAGTTTGCTTACAACAATCAGTACCATAGTAGTTTGGGTGTTCCACCATATGAAGCACTTTATGGGAGAAAATGTAGAACACCATTATGTTGGGATGTAGAAGGAGCAAGACAAATTTCAGGGCCAGAGATAGTTCAGATCACAGTTGACAAGGTCAAAGAAATCAGGGAGCGTTTGAGGGTGGCTCAAGATCGGCAGAAAGTTTATGTTGACACGAATAGGCGTGAAGTTCATTTCGAAGTGGGTGAGAAAGTATTTCTCAAAGTGTCACCATGGAAAGGGGTGATGAGATTTGGTAAGAAAGGGAAACTTTCACCTCGGTATATTGGACCCTATGAAATCACAGAGAAGATTGGCCCAGTGGCATATAAACTAGCATTGCCTCCAGAACTATCTCAAATCCACAATGTATTTCATGTTAGTATGCTGAAGAGGTACAAAGTGGATCCTTCCCATGTTATACAACCAGAAGAGATCGAGTTGGGTTTAGATTTGACTTTTGAGGAGGTTCCAGTTGAGATTGTTGATTTTCAGATTAAGAATCTTCGTAGGAAGGAAATCCCAATGTTGAAAGTGGTTTGGAGAAATCAAGAAAGTGAGAGTGCTACCTGGGAAACTGAAGCAAGTATGCGAGAGAAGTACCCTGAGTTAGTAGCAACCTACTTTGCAGGTTAACAATTTGCCTAATAAGTTATGTTTTCAGCTTGTTGATGTGCTTTGGTTGTGATAGCCCAGTATAGGTTTTTGAAACCTAAACATGGGAACTTGAGGTGTTATGTGTTATTTTCTATGTTATGAATCGCCTATTCTAAGAGTTAGGTAATGGTTTATCTATGATAGACCATGTTAAGGATAAGTAAGAGGAGTTAGAGTACGACTCAAGGTTAGATTTCGGGGACGAAATCTTTTAAGGAGAGGAGAATTGTAACATCCCGTTTTGGCTAAAATCGTATTTCGATCGCTAGAAAGTTTTAAAATCGAGCATTTCGACACTATTTCGACGAAAATCGGATTATCGATCGATCGGATAAGTATACGTATTAATTATATATATATATCGGGACATAAAATTCCCTCCCTGTCTCAACTTTCCAGAAACCATTCCACTTCTTATTCTTTTCACTTTCTACCGAGAGAAGCAAAACCAGAGCCGCGCACAGGGAACGTCGGGGGATAAATTCCCAAGCTCAATTCTTGAGCTCTGCTGATCCAAAAATCCCGTAAGTAATGCCTAATTCATCTATACATCGTGATTTATCGATTTAGAGCTTTAAAACGAGTTTTTGGTTCAGGAATTTCTTGAATTCCCGATAAGCCAAATTAGGGTTTCGGAGTATCCGGAAGCCGGATTGAGCCCAAATTACATATACGAGCTTCCTGCAGCGAGGTAATCAATCCTCTAGTTCTAATCCCTGAATTTAGGCTATTATTTAGGCCGGGGTCCAAACCTCTGAATTTAGCTCCGGCCAGGGTTTGATGTGTTTTTATCAAGAATTTGACCCGCAGCCTAGAACTAATATTGACGGGGATACTGCAGGGAATATTAGGACGGTCTCGGATTTTAATTCGGGGTTCGTTCCTGAAATTGACGTTTTAGTACGGGAAGGTTAAACCGGTGTTTGAACGGCCAGAACTGGTGAGGGATTAGCACGACATACCGGGTTTGTCGTATCACGATAATTATATTGATGCTTAGAATTGATCTAGGTGAACTAGAATGGCATGATTAGGGGTGTATGAGCTTTTGTGCTATATGTTGAACCCTGGATTGCTGTATGATATTATTGACTTGCCCTAATCGATATGAACCTTGTTTATGCTGATGATTGTGTATATGTTGCAAATTGTGGGCTTGACTGTTAATATGCTTTACGATGGTTCGAGAAGGTGATTAGGTATGATTTTTCATGATTGTTGTATTTGGATGCACAAGTGGGAAAATATGTATTCCCTGGTGATATTATGATTTTTAAGGAGGATGACTTGCACGAGGGTTTATCCCGAGGAAGTGCAATTATACGACTCCTGATTTACCTATGTTGAGCCAATTATGGACAGGTCAAGTACATGTGCAAGTAATGAATTATGATTAAGCAAGATGAGATATGAATCATGTATAAGGATACCAAATATGAGTGTTGTGGTCTCACGGTCAACTACGTAGTAATTAGGGCTCCCTATGCTATTACTCTATTATGATATGTATGATAGTCACACCTCTCATGTGGTGGTGACTGAAGAATTCTTATGAGATATGACCACACCCAGAGCGGTGTCGGGGTATGACTACACCCATAGTGGTGTGGGGTATGTATGACCACATCCGACGGGATGTGGGGTATGTTTCCCGGGAGAGTTATTAGCATAGGAGTAGCCAGGCGCCTATAAGTAAAACATAATAAGATGCATATGCATAAGTCAAGGTGGTTGAGTCTTTTGCCTATTTGGATGTCGGAGGGCTAAGATCTGATCCTAGTGCTTTGGCTTGTTTGCTAGATGTATGGTAGGGGTATGCTCTGTTATGAACTCACGATGCTATGATTATTTCACTCAGCTATGAGCTGACCCTCTTTTATTATTCTTCTCTGCTTATGCTATGTGTAAGCAGATCATCATCAGCAGCAGTAGATAGGTGTATAGGTGGGAGCTGAGCAAGAGTTGAAGGCAAGATGAGGTATGGTCTTCAACCATTCTGTGCTTGGACTACTACTCGGGATTTTGGCCAGTGATCCACACCTTTTTGTAAAAATGTTTTGAGAACATTTTCATGTGCATACTAGCTTCGAATGTAGTGTGAGATATCCACAGGTGTGGAAAGTTGATGATATGTGTATATTTTTGTAATTGTGTAAGTTATGACGATTATGGCTTGTATTAGTATGGTATGCAGTTGTGTAGTATGAAACTGTGACTATGGCTATGAAAGCCAATGCTTATGGTTGTGAGTATATATGTTTGTGATGAATTATTTTGCAGGATAAGTTGCAAGAACTGTTAGCCCATTACGCGAGTAATTCATGTCGAAATTTTATTTGGGTAAATTTTGATAATTAATGTAACACCCAAGTTTAATTCCGGTGCAATTGTATGAACAATATGATTAGGCAAAACGTATAGGGTAGGGTATTACATAGTTGTTGGATGCCGACGAGAGAACGAAGAAGAAGAGGATTTCGACGTGTTGCTCAAGGACAGAGATGCGGCGGTTGACAAGTTTGAGAGAAGCTAGATGAGTGCTTGAGAGTTGGCGTTTAGGTTTTTGTAAGTCAGGTGGGCTCTGGGCTTTGAGTTGTTGAGTTGAGGTCGGGCTAGGCTGGGCTTTGGGTGAGTGGGTAAGTTTTGCCTAGGCGCTTGGCTTTGGGCTTCAGGATAGCACAGGGTCCGGATTTTGTTTTTTTGCGATTTTAACCGGGTTATACTTGGTACGATTTTTCTCAATATATTGGCAACCGTAATCTGGACAAGACCGGGTTGCATTCGGTTTCCGGTTGCAACTAGGACGATTTAAAGTGGCCGGTTTTCGGTTAGACCAAAAAATCGTGACCAGATTCCTAGCCCTAAATTTGACCAACTTGCTCGAAGGTCACACTCTTCTCTCAATCTCCACAGCTACCGGTCTAAGAATTTGGCTTAAGCTTTCTCATTCAATGATACTCGCTTACCATTGAATGAGTGCTATAAACAAAAAAATTCCAACTTTTCACCATGTAACAGAGAGGCCATAACAGGGAAGCTGGACTCGAAGCCTTTCAGCTCGACAACAATACACCTTCCACTATAGAGTTTCAATAGTCACAATTATATTGACATTCCCTTATAATTTACAAAAGCTAAGAAGAGAAGACAACGGGAAAATCCATATGCGAACGCGCCTATGCAACATCTGAAGGTTGCGGGCAGCGCATCAAGAAAACATGGCCAGTTCATTTTTCTATGTGTGCATAACATTCAAATTTTCAAATACGCAGAACAAAAACGAGATTCTGCAGAAAGACAAGCACGAGGAATGAAATTGGGACTTACTATGCGAGGAAGGCAATTCCTCAGAACTCCTTCTTCCAACAACAGAAGATACTAACCGAAGAAGCGAGAGGAAAGAATGACTGACGCAGACGGAAGAGTCTCGAACACTCTAAACTGCGGGACGGGAAGAAGACGGCCAGGGTACCCGACTCTCTTGCTCTGGTCGAGGATGGGGGCTGGGGGCGCGGAGAGAGGGTATGTTGTCTAAAGTCTAAACCCTTCGGAAAACTGAAATTGGCAGTTTTGGCCGCTCAAGAGTCCTTGGTCTTGGTTTTGGTCTTGGTCATGTGTTATATTTGCTACTTGGTCTTCTTACAAAATTTTTGCCACTTTGGGTAAATTTTAACAAACAAAAATGTGGGTAGAAGCAGTTCCATAAGATCCATCATAAGGTGAATCTTAACAAACAAAAATGTGAAGTAAGCATCCATCAAGAGTCCTCTTACAAAAATTTTGCCACTTGGTCTTGGTCTGTTATACCTTGGGAAGCAGGTACATGAAATTTAAGACACTGGATTGGTGTAAAGTTCACTTGGTCATGTGTTATATTTGCTACAGGTGGCTAATTTTGGGTTTATTTAAGACAGCAGAGAGCCTTGCACACTTACTGATGTCTACTCACCTGCAGGAAAGTGTAGAAGCTACAGCTGAGGTCTCAAAGACATTTAACGAGAAGATCAGAAAGTACTGTGATATGACCCTACTTTCTTGTGCCTACGCTGGGATAGGGAATGTTCTGAAGGTATGCTTTTGATGTCAATAAATTTGCATTTTTCATTCAAGAAGCTAGAAGTGTTATTTTGGATCGTTTGTTTTGCTTTTGCTTTGCTCTACCTGGGAACATTGTTTCCTCATTTCTCCCCGGTTTTAATTGGTGGCTTGTTTCTTGCTCTAGGTTCAAAACCTCCTTGGGAATTGTGCTCAGCATTTGGAGAAGGGTGAAAACTACCAGGGACCTGCGGTGCTTGCAATAGCAATGGTGTCTATGGCTGAGGAATTGGGACTTGACATGGCAATTCGAACTTTGGAGCATCTTTTGCAATATGGGGAACAGAACATCCGGCGGTCAGTTCCTCTGCCTCTTGCCCTTCTATGCATATCGAATCCAAAGGTGAGTTGTTTCATAAGGTCTTAGGCTTTGTTTTCCACAAACGCATTGATCACTCTGCTTATCATCTATCGTAGTGTTTCTGTAACTTATTGGGTAAATTTGTATCAGGTCAATGTGATGGATACGCTAAGCAGACTTAGTCATGACACGGATTCAGAAGTTGCATCAGTAAGCTAGTGTTCTGCTAGACCAGAGTATTACTTCGACGGTTTTGTATAATTTCTAAAGGTAGCAATGTCTCCATGTCTTTTGCAGGCTGCAATTATTTCCCTTGGGCCGATAGGTGCCGGGACGAATAATGCACGAATTGCTGGCATGCTTCGCAATCTTTCGAGTTATTATTACAAAGATGCCATCCTTCTTTTCTGTGTAAGGCTGCTACTATTGTGGTCTGTTTGGTTTTCACATGATAGCATATGATATGTCCAAGTTGTGAATGTCGTCTTGGATTGGTTTACTTTCATATGAATGTACATAATGTCTGAGTTCTGAGTGCTTGTTATCTGGCTTCTGTAGGTAAGACTTGCTCAAGGCCTTGTGCACTTAGGCAAGGGTTTGTTGACTCTTAATCCGTATCACTCTGATCGGTTCTTGCTATCACCGTAAGTGACCTGCTGGAGAGCTACAATATTTTTTTTTTGTGATGATTCTCATTAATCATCAAGATGGGAAGGTGTTTACCGCTCTTTACCTGATTCTGTTTGAGGAATATTTCCCTTCTTTGTGTGCAGTGTGGCGCTTGCAGGTTTAGTTACCTTTTTGCATGCTTGTCTTGAAATGAAGGCCATGGTACTGGGGAGATATCACATCGTCCTCTACTTCCTCGTCTTAGCAATGCAGGTACGGTACCTCTGTTTCATGTCATGTAAAACCAATAAATGACTATAATTTGGTGCTTTAATTATTGTGTTGGTGGGTTTGCTTCTGTTGCAGCCAAGAATGTTGATGACGGTGGATGAGAATTTGAAGCCTCTGTCCGTCCCTGTACGGGTCGGACAGGCTGTAGATGTGGTTGGCCAAGCTGGTCGACCCAAAACCATAACAGGTTTCCAGACGCATTCAACGCCGGTTCTATTGGCTGCTGGCGACAGAGCTGAGCTAGCGACGGAGAAGTAAGATGTTCTTCTTTGCTTTTCTGCATTGATTTGTAGAGAATCGGCTCATGCTCTCTCAGGAGGACAACTAATTTTCCCAGCGTTTTCTTGATATACTTTTGGTGGTGGTGTTTTTGTTCTTCGGGTACATTCCACTGTCGCCAATTTTGGAAGGATTTGTGCTCCTGAAGGAGAACCCGGATTACCAAGAGGAGAGTTAAAGCTAGAAATTTTGAGGGTTCGTGCACACTGTTTGGTTTGAATTTTCTCTTATGCTACATTACATGAGTAAAGAGTATCAATGTCTGAAGTATTTTCAATTAGAACGTGGAATTGGAATGTGGAATGAGTACTGATCCTAACATTGAAATATTAGATTGTGATACTAACCTTCGTCTTCCTATTTTTTTTTTTTTTTTTTTACAAGACTAACCTTTCGTCTTCTTAAGTTGACATTTGTGCTAGGAATGACAATGAATAGGTCTGAGGCAGGTATGTCAATATCCATACTTGTCTCGTGGCAGGTTGGGTCCATGTCGGGTAATTTATCATGGGACACTGGTCGGGATAGATCGACCCATTCGGTATGTAATTTGTATGAAAAACATTAGAAATATTCGTTATTTTCATTAAAAGACTAAAAAAATCATATATGATAAAATATAGTTAAATTATTGGAGAAATTGAGGTTTTCACTCAGTGGCACGTCAGAATATTCCTTCCAACTCAGTCCCACATCTGATAGCTCACCATCATTAAATAGAAAAGTTAACGGAGAGTTAACGTTTTGGCTAATTCATAGCATTTTGATAGGTTTTGCTAATTAAAAAGAATCGAAAAAAGATTTGGCTAATAAATAATCATTACCCTTTAATTTAAGCGACAGTATTCTCACTTGATCTCTTTTGTTAGTTGGATTTGGGCCCAAACCCGATAATGGTGGGTTTTAGTCGGTTCGTATTTTCTGAAAGAGAGAAGTTGTGTTCGAACCTTGAACAACGATTAATTACACAATTCATATGCCGAACTCAATGTCTATATTGCATATGCGGCTAAAAGAGTAATTGAACAAACATGGAGTAAGACTGTGCTTGAATGTTCTTAACATTTTTTTATTATATCTTTTATAACATGTAGAAATCTATTATCACCAAAAAAGAAAGAAGCTACTCTAAATATAATCGTCTCTAACTATATTCTAGTTTAACGGTAAAGAAATCAAAACCGTTATTTCTAGTAGCATAGCAAAAGGTAGAAAAAGACATCGTGACATCATTTTGAGACGTAACTCAATGCTAACTAGGCGTCACTGAGACCACAACGTGTTCAATGTGTCTTCTCCACTGCTATTTGCCAAAGCAAAGTGTTTACTTTCTGACTTGCGACTAGACGAACTTAGACGAGTGTCTAGGTGTGTTTTTTAAAACTGTAGTAAATTTTTCCCCCAACCATTCGAAAGGGCAAAACATCTTAATTGTTTACAATCTAGAGGTTTTGGAATGGTAATTCTCCAAACATTACTATATTTATATATAGTATCCTATAGTTCATTGTCTTTTGGATCCATAACACGGGGAATTCTATGGTGCAGTCACTGCACTAGTACCGCCACTTTATTGTAATCGGTTGAGTTGGTGATTTATTGGTTGGCTCCGGTTGAGTTGGTGATTTATTGGTTGACTCCGGTTTAGTAATTTAATTAATAAAACATTAAAAAAAACAAAAAGAAAAAGAAACAGAAGGCAAAAGGCAGGACAGTCGTTCCCTTCCATGTCTTTCCATTGTAAATCAAGGAAACCCTTCCGTCGCAGCACTCCACCACCACGTTGTTTTCGTCGATCGACCTCACCAGCAAAATCCCAACTTCGTCTGGCAAAATCAGCTGCGTCATCAGCCCCATAGCCGCCTTCTGCTCATCGACAGCATCGTTTCTGCCGCGTGAATCCACAATCACCATCACCATTGCGGCCGATCGACCATAACCACCCACATCCCGAATCCCCGACAATCAATGTCAATACCGTCGTCAACCCAGTTGCCGCTGCCAGGTCACGTCTCTGTTGTGCCAATAAACCACCATTGTCGCTGGTCGGCCATCACTACCCAAATCCCGACACCCTCGAAATCGCCATAGTCGTCAAGGCTCCTCCCCTCTCGTTTTAACCACCGCCGATTCAATTTCCCCATCCATGGCTACAGAATTCCTGAACCACCTTCCATCCATCATCAAAATCGTCTGGCTGCCCTCTCATTCCCAACAACGTCCCTACCGTGGCAATCGATCTGTTGCCGTTGTTCAGCCTTGAGCACGAAGATCGGCGACTCACTCAAAATACCCATTGTGGTCAGTGGCGATCAAGGGATACGTTACCTAGAATCCCCTTTCAGCTTCTATGAGATAAGTCTTCGGTATCCTTGTGATTTGGGTATTTGTTGGATAATTGCTGAACGCATTAGATTGTTAAGATTGGGTGAACAACATAATTTGTAGTTGGATGGTTTCAAATCTTAGTGTAGTTATCTTAAATCCCCTCCCAAATCTTCTACTTATTTATAATTTTTGTGTTCAGTTGCCGTGGATAAGTCATGTGAATAATTTTTGAATTAGAAAACTAATAAACCCCAACAGAACTAGAACTCCTCCTTATCTCAACTAGTTATAGGTTCCTATATATATTTTGGTTTCTATTTGTATATGTCGTAGGCTTTTCAAACCAACAGAAACATCATTTGGTGCAATGGAAGGGTTCGTTCTGTGTTTATCTGATCTGGTTATTTGCTTAATGAACTTCTCTTATGGCTCTGCCTAAATTGATGTGTTTTTGTTCCAGCTTGGACAAGAGAACGCCAGAATCAAATGGCTCAAATGAGATTAACCAGGTAATCACATTACTATTTTCAAAATACTTTTTTGTATTTTTGGTTGTTTGTAGTGACAATTGTAGTGTCTTTGTCAAATAATTGCTTAGATGGTAGAAGTGGGGTCTGTTGAACTTAAATACCACTCCCTGTATAACTTAGGAGTCCCTCAGGGTATACCTTCGCTTAACCGTCTTCCATAAAAGAATCATCTTCCCTAACTTGGCATTCCTTTTTCAGCTGACATTTCACCATATTTTCGTGATTTTGAAGTTATTTGGCCCCAGCTTTGTTCAAAAAGGATGATAGAATATGTATTTGTTAGTCAAAATTTGCTGGTTAAAACAATAATCTGGGACTCTGAACTGAAATCCCAGATAGCCTACTTTATCAAACCTATCAGCTAGTCTAAATCTGCTACTGCAGATCAAGGTCTCCTTCAAGTTGGTTATGCGGCAACATCAAAACTAAACAATTGTAATCTTATTACCTCAAATGGGTAGTTGTGCTATATATTTCCTTACTCAATTTTCACTCGTTTTGAATTTCATAGCTCAACCATCTATGATCCTGCCCTGCTGTCTTTATGATCCTTCTGCTGCTACTGCTTGCAATTCCTGAGCTTGGATATATAGAAGTGTATTTAATGTGTTGTTTGGAACAACTAAAATCAATTTTAATAATTAAAAAATTTAGGACTAAAAAATACAATAAGATACTATTACAATCAAAATCCAGCTTATAACTTAGATGCAAAGGCATAACTATAGATGAGGAATCATATAATTTTGTCTATAGCCTTATAACTTCCCTTCTGCTTATGAGCTGCAACTCTCTGTACAATTTCCAAAGGCTGCAACCCAAATAACAATGATTGTATTCACATATCACAATTTTGCACAAATTTTTGGCTTATCTTTTTTTGTTTTAAGCTGTCATCATTTGTTTTCTCATTGTGTTTTCTATCTTTCTTTCCATGTACTCTATTTTTCGTGTCTAAAAAATTGCACTCACCCACTGACAAAAAAAAAAAAAAAAAAATTCTATCCAAAAAGATTGTTAAGCAACTCTTTGATGTTTCATATGTAGATGTCAAAACTATATGCTCTTATGGAAGAGTTGAAAGTGAATCAGTTAGCGTTGAAGAATGATATGGAGCAAAACATAAGCGAGTTGAGGAGATCGCTAGATTCTTTAACTGACTGGTTGATGGAGAAGTTTGCTACCATCAGACCTGGTGATCCCTGCAAAAGTGGTATGAAGCACAACAAAGACAAGGGAGTGGAGGTTATTAACATCAGCACGGATAGCTCATGCTCCTTGTCAAGAACCACTGCACCCAAGATGTCAGACAAAGCTGCAAGTGCAAGGAAAAAGGTTTGTTGTACTGTCATATTTTGACTTGATTATGTTTCTATTAGTTATTTAATTGTTTTTGTTTTCAATAGGGAAAGGTTTGCGTGAAGCCGCCTATCAAAGTGAGAAGTCCCATTTTGACAAGGAGATACAATGAAATGAGAAATAAAAAAATGTATTCCATTGGGCCCTTTACAACTTCCTCTCGTGCATGCCCAATGGATCTGATTTTGATAACGCATGTGTTTGACCAGTCAAAAGACCAGTGGTATTAAATCTATCTTTTCCAATTACTTATGTTAGTATTTGTTAATGGAAGTGCCTATTATTCAAATTCTTTGTAATTGCAAATTGGTTATTGATTGTTTTTAATTTCCAGTGAGGAGCTTGTAAGATCTCCATGGTTTAATCTGAATCGGGCACAATTTAAGGGATTAGCACCAGATTTAATGTTGTCTTCTCAGGTTAGTGTAAAACTTCTTTTGGATCTACAAAACTAGATAGAATAATATGCAAACAGCTTGTGTGTTTTATGTGATTGTGATTATATTTGGGATACTTGGACAGGTTATTACCATGTGTGTGGACTTCTTAACTCTAGAAGAGTTTCGTAAGGAAAAACGTGTGCGATGGTTCTTACCACCAGCCTTTTCTGTAAGTATAAATATTTTTTATGCCTTCTGTGGTGTATTTGCATGATAATCTTGTAAGCAATTATTACATCTGTGAGAATGTCTTTTAGATGTCTGTGTGTGGATATTCTGAGGAGAAGATTAGACGCGTGACTGTTCAGAAGATTTCATCGACTGTGAGAAGGTACCAATCTTGTTATGTGGTCTTAGTTGGATGTTGTAATTGGTTTATTTTTGCTCCGAGTTGTTAATTATTACATATATTTTTTAGATTTTTGTTCCCATTCTGCTGGACAATCACTTTTTTCTCAGCGTATTTGACCTTAAGAAGGAGGTCAAACAAATATGGGATTCATATCCGAACTTTCTCGACCCGGGCAGGAGGGAAGAAAAACTATCACAAGTAGTAAGTCAGTTATCTCCTAAAACTTTATATCGTTTGTGTACCTATTTCTGTTTGGTAAACTGGGTACTCTTTGTCACGTAGGCGAAAGCACTAGACTCTCTGGTTATGGTCAAGATTATTAAAAAGTTGGAGGTCAACTTGCTGGAATCTTTCACTACTGAAATAGTGGTTAACGCTCTACGACAGAAGAATGGGTAAGCGTACGAATTTTGTGCTCATTTATTATGTTAGTTATATAGTAGGCTAATAACTGTCATTTTAAGTTTGACTATTGGTCCTGCAGGGTTGACTGTGGTCTTTTCGTGGCGAAGTTGATGAGAAACAGTGGGTGCTTAGATGATTGTGCACGTAAAATGAAGAAGAAGGCCAGTTTCTTCCCAACTTTCTCATCTCTTGAGTTTTGATATTTTTCTTATACCTTTTGTTTTCGTTTCTACTTTCAGTTTGAGAGTCAAGATGAGAGGCTTGATCTAGCATTGTATTTACTGAATAACAAGGAGAATTAGATTATAGATGTGCTTCACCGGAAAGTTGTAATGGAAAGTGGTGAAAGAATTGATGAAGTTGAGGGTACTGCTGAGAGGAGCGAAACACCCAAAAAAGATGGGAATTTTACTACTTATAAGCTGTAGTTGGTTTTCCTTGTTCAATAATTATAGACTCTTTAGAAGAATAAACATGGCTAGGCTATTGCGTTGGACTTTTATTAATAATCCTGATACTGTTTAGTTGTGGGAACGTTGTGGGTTTGAATATGGGGGACCTCGATTTGTTTTAATTCTTTATGAGAGGTTGATATGGTGTGGCTAGTGGTTTTGTTTGTGTGCTTGTTTCGTGGATGGGTACTGCTGGTTTTCCATATTGCGGCAACTGCGCATTTTGTTTTGGCTCTATTCTTAGGCTGCTTCTTGTACTCGTTGTTTTCTGCCTACTTCATTCACTTCCTGTTTGAGGGACCAAAGAGTTTCAGGTTATCAAAAACAAGCTCCAAGTAGCAGATTCTGGAATGATGGAGTAGAATATTGCACAAGAGATTATATCCTGGTATGATTTTTAGCTTGTCATCTCTCGTGTGTTTTTTAATAGTTTGGTTATTAATAAGTTATCTTAAAATGCACATAGGTTTCGTCTTTCCTGTCATGTTATTCCTTTGCTGGTTTCTGAATTTTGGTTCGTCGTTGATGTCTACTTTTTACTTATAATATGCTTTGTAATGATATTGTGCAGCCGGAAAATGACAAGCACATGTATTTGGTGGTTCGGATGCCAAATACACTACTGTTACTTGTGCCGCAAGGTTTTGAAGCGTACCAGTGACCATTACGGACCAAAGAACTGCAACCAACATATGGTAGTATAGGCTTTGAAGTTCAGTCATTACCAGATGGAGAATTCCACTCAGTTTTCATCAAAGCAGACTCAGACCAGCTAGTGTTGACGAATGTTATATTTTGATTGAGTAGTCGTTTTACACTAGTCAATCAATGTATAGAACTACCAATTTGCCTCATCAGATTAGCATGATGTGGAACCTTCACACCCATGCTTAATTGTGGAAACAAAACTCAGATCAATGGGAGGAGAATGATAGTTGTTCTGTTTTTATTGACTAGCTTGATTTACTGGAAACTTTTCTCTTGAAAATCTCAGTGTGTATTTGTCCTACTATTCCCGCGAGGTGTTTCCAATAGGTTCTTGAAGTGGACTCAATTTATCGTGAAACTGTCATTATTCTGGACAACCAACGAGGCTTGAGAAGTTTCAAGGTAGCTCACTCACTATTAAACGAACGGGCTCCTTAGTCATTACTCAAATGTCTGTATAAAAATAGAAGAGATTGCTTTCATTACGAATGGCAGGCGACTAGCCTAGTGGTTTAAGACTCTGACTTAATTGACAATTTGGAATATTTACATGCATAAGGTAGTGGGTTCAATCCACCTTACATTCTTTTTTTTATGCAAATTTGTCATTTAGAGCATCTGCAGCACTCTCAAACAAACATGGGACAGAAATGCAGACACCAAGTAGTGGCAAACCAGAATTCTTTAAACCAACATATCAATTTTTGCATATCCCCTTCTCTTCCTTCCATTTCTTTTCAAGTGAACCAGCAGATGAACTCTAGCCGTTGAGAAGACAGTTTAGAAAATATCAGCAAGCAGCAAGTGGTCTTCCCAGTCTTGGGTCAGCCAGTTTCACCTTACGCTGCTCATTGCCACAGAATTTGCCATCAAAACTGCAAACAATAAGAACAAACACGTACAACACCAGGATTCTACAACCAACACATGCCAACTGTACCACCAAGCACCCCTTAAATCTTGACAAATTGAAAAACATTGCAAAGGGATCCAACAAAAATCAAACTTGGGAAGTCCAAAGCAATAACTTTCCTCGAGATAAAAGAGAGTTATGATCGTTTAAAAAAAGGCAAACACCAAAAGAAGCACCCTCCAACAACTAGTACAGGTATGATTCTTTGGGGGAGGAAAACAAAGACATAAAAATCTTTTCCTAGTTACTCTGTAGTCTGACTCCTTTCCAAACCGCCGTCAACAGAATCTTCTCGGTCCATACTTTCCATGAGTACTTTGTGATGGATAGCATCCCGAACTGAATTCTTCTCATGGTTCAGTAGATACAATGCTAAATCAAGACTCTCCTCGTGTGAGTCAAACTGAAAATGTAAATGAAATGCATAAGAAAATAACTAAAACCCTTTAACTATAATAATAACAAGATAAGGGCTATCAACCACCTTCTTTCTCATTGCCCGTGCGGACTGATCCATATAGCCACCAGATCGCAGCAACTTCAAGACAAAGACCCCACAATCAAACATGCCCCAAAACATTCAAAACAAAAATGAAATCAAAGAGCTCATTGCAATCAAAACAAGTCATCTGTTACAAAATCAATAACCTTACCCATTCTTCTGTCTTGGGGAATTAACAACCTCTTCTATGGTGAAAGTGGACAGCATACTGTATTCAAAACGATTAAAAACTGACTCCAAAAAGATTGAGTCCAGTTCTTTCGCCTACATGAAGCACAAGATTTGTCGGCAGATGTACGAAATTGAATAACTAAGTATGTTTGATCATATACCGAACATGACTTACGATCTGTAACACTTTTTCGTTCCTCCTAGAAATCTATCACCTCTTTCTTCAGGTCAAAAACACATAGAAAGATGTGGTTGTCCAGCAGAACAGGGAAGAAAATCTGACATGCACACATATTACGTAAGACTCAATAGAAATGCTATCAAGTACGCTATTTTAAGAAGTTCTCATCATTTACCACAAGTTACCTTCTCACAATCATTGAATTCCTCAGAACAGTATACGGTTTTCATTGTTTACTAGACGCAGCAAAGACACGATCCTCATTAGCACTGTACACCTGAAAGTTAAAATATATCAAATCATAAGTAGTTAAACAACTGGTTCACTCTTTTTCTACCTTCATAAGATTGCAAATAACTAGTTGTAACAATAACTAGTTAAGTATGAGACTTATTGGACAGCAACAGGCATAAAACCTTTCACATTAGTTAACAAGATCCACAAGTAACGACAATTGAGTACAGTTTGGCATCATTACCAAATCATTCAAAAGGGCGAAAGTTTTAACGAATCAAAAGTTATCCTATTCAGTACAGACTATAACCTGTTTTCCACCTCCATGATCAATGCTACCAAAATATGCCAAATAGGACAGTATACAACTAATGAACTTACAGCAAATGCAGGAGGTAAGAACCAATTCACACGTTTCTCATTATGCATTTCCAGCATCGTTAACAGGTCAACGCAAATAGTGATGACCTGCACAAATATATAAACCATAAAGTATATTATGTAAAAAGGCTTGCTCGTTAACTATGCCCATTTATAAAGACAAGATGAGTTGTATACGAACCTTGGTTGACAATGGTATTTCTGGCTGTAAGACATAAACTCTTCACGATTCAAATGAAACACGGAAGATTTGACAAACACCTCACTACAACCAAAAAATAGACAATTCAATCTTTCATGGGTGCCCTTAATTTTTGAAAAAATGGATTCTACTAAAGTAATTACAATGAAACAAAGTTATTTAAATACCTTGCATTATTTGTCGGATAAAAAACGTGGTTGATCAACTTCTGATCTATTTCTGATAGGGCCTTCGTAGTGATGAAGAGGCCAACCACCTGCGTTTTGCCGTCTCTCCTCTCCGTATATTGACGGGTCCTAATAGGACTCCGCAACTTAATTGGAGACCTCATAAAACCTTTCCCCTATCGTTTAACAATTGTATTAAAATCCGTATACCTAAAAGAAAAGCAAATAATACAGAAACAGAAGAGGAAGGAGACTACACAACCTTTCTCCTTGATGCTGTGTTTGTCGCATTATTTTTACTCCTTGTTGCCAATGAGGAGCTATCAGAACTTATGTTCAAAACTTCAACCACATCGTCATTCTTCTTCCCCCTGCCATTTTCACAGTTCTGATCTGACCTCCCAATCAGCAGGTCCCATAACGAATGTAGTGTTGTCTTAATGTCGTTCATATCATCCTTCAATTCCCTTTTCATAGATAGCTGACATTCTCCCAAGTCAGCCACAAGGGAATGTAGGTTTCTGATCTGCATAAGAAAGACCAAGAGTGTAAGGTTCCTGAAATACTTCACAAAAGAATTGTGGACATTGTAAGAGAAACTTTACCTCAATCGATTCTGCCGCTGTCCAGTCTAACCTGAACATAACATAAACAAAAAAGTAGTGTCAGGAGGGTCGATAAGACTGAAGAAGAAAGCCATCGGGAAAAACAGAAACTAACCATTCCATGACACCAATTCCTAGTATGCTTCTCAACCAAAATACGAAGATTAATTCACTAGGATGAGTTGCTTATATAGAAAAATGTGTCTAGAGAGGAGATGAAGAAACAAGAGGACTCTTTGAAAATTTTCTGTTGTGATCTGTTAGGTTTTACCATTATAAATAAATAAATAAGCTTCCTACCTTCTCAAAACTTCTTACTTACCATAATACGTGGGGATCAAAATCCCAATTTTATTAACTCTCAAATCTATACAATTATGCTAAATATCATGGAGCAAGAAGCCATCAAAGACAAAGCAATAAGCAGACCACACGTGGGAAACAAGTAGACATTTTCCCCACAATGCATAATGAACTGTAAAACAGTAGTGAATCAAAGCTTTGAGTTCATTCTTTTTCGTCAAAATAGCATGAAAACCTCACCTAGTACACCTGGCGTGCCACCAGCAGTAGCAGCTTGACTGCCAAAGCGTGGATGCATGGAGGAATCAAAGTTCCGGTGGTGCAAGTTGTTATAAACGCGCTGCTACGGATCGGGAAATCGCCGGAATCGACAAAGCAAGAATACGAAAGCGATAATCGAAAAACACAGACACACGATTTACGTGGTTCACTAACACGATGTGTGTTAGCTACGTCCACGGGCGAGAGAGTCATTTTCACTATATCAAGGAGATTACAGATTACAGAGGAGTATGATAATTATTTATAGTACTTCTCCATGTGTATGAGGAGTATGAGAAGTATTTTTAGCTACGTCCCCCGATTACCAGTCGTAGCGGCTGATAGTCCGATTCAAGTCACATCAACAAATCTCCACCTTGACTTGAATCCTCTTCCCCTGAAATCTCTGATGTACTTTGCTCCTTCTATCTCTCTCTCGCCATCAATGCCCCGCAGGGCGGAGTCACCCACTCAAGACATTCAGCCAGTCCAAGCAGTGTTGGAACTTGCCATGTGGAACCGTCTTCGTGAACATATCAGCAGGATTATCCGTGGTGCCAACCTTCTTCACCTTAATCCTCTTCTCTGTCCTCAAGAAATGATACCTCACATCGATGTGCTTAGTCCTCTCATGGTGGACTTGATCCTTGGCCAAGCATATTGCACTCAAACTGTCGCAATACACCACTGCCTGATCATGATGTAGACCAAGATCACCAACCAATCCCTTCAACCATATTCCAGCCTCTGACGGCGGTGCATACACTGAGAATAGATGAAAATTTGAAGCACTAGGAGTATTTAAGGGCTTTGCTGAAGACATACCAAACCTCGACAGTATCTTCTGGATGTAGCTCTTCTGTGACAAGAAAAGCTTCTTCTTCGACCTGTCCCTGTAAATCTCCATACCCAAGATCTTCTGAGCAGCTCCCAAATCCTTCATCTCAAACTCAGCACTGAGAAGCCCCTTTAACTTCTGGATATCAGACTTCGACCTCGCAGCTATGAGCATATCATCCACATACAGAACTAGATCTATCATCGAACCATCCTCTGCCTTGCTGTGATATACACAACAATCATATGGACTTCTGTTGTAGCCTAGCTCAAGCATGTAACTGTCAAATCTCTTGTACCACTGCCTCGGAGATTGCTTAAGTCCATACAAGGACTTCTTCAACTTACAAACATAGTCTTCTTTTCCCGGAACCTCGAATCCTTCTGGCTGAGTCATGTAAATTTCTTCCTCCAACTCTCCATGTAGGAAAGCTGTCTTCACGCCTAGCTGCTCGAGCTCCAAGTCATAATGTGCCACTATTGCTAGTAGCACTCTGATCGAAGTATGTCTGACCACTGGTGAGAAAATCTCATTGTAGTCAACTCCTTCCCTCTGCGAGAAACCTCGTGCAACCACCCGAGCTTTAAATTTCATGCCCTCTTTAGAAGTGATTCCTTCCTTCTTCTTGTAGATCCACTTGTTTGTAACAATCTTCCTTCCCTGTGGTCGTTTGACTAGCTCCCAAGTCTGATTCCTGTCATGGGATTCCATCTCATCTCCCATTGCAGCAAGCCACTAATCAGCTTCGCCACCCGAAACGGCTTCTCTATAGGACTGTGGCTCTCCTGCATCCACTTCCTCAACAAACTGAAATGAATACGCCACCATGTCCTCGAAGCCATACCTCTGTGGAGGTACTCCTGCAGTCGCTCTCTTCGGTCTACCGGAAGCAATAGACTGTTGAGCTCGTGCACTGGACTCTGAAGTTTCTGGCTCTGCAGAGACATCCTCATGCTGAGAGTTTGCAGCTCCACCTGCTTATCAACATTCCTGCTACCTTCAACAACAATAACCTTCAACATGGGGTTAAACATAGACTTCTCATCAAATATCACATTTCTACTGAGTATAACTCGATGCTCAGAAGGTGACCAGACTCAAAATTCCTTAACTCCATCTCCGTAACCCACAAATACACCCTTCTTTGCCCTTGGGTTCAGTTTACCCTCATCCACATGATAATAAACAGGACACCCAAAAACTTTCAGTGAAGAGTAATCAGCAGGCTTACCATACCACACCTCATAAGGAGTCTTCAACTCGATACCTGTGTGAGGTCCACGGTTGATCAGTAAGCACACCATGTTCACTGCTTCTGCCCAGAATCTTCTCTCTACTCCAGCATTAAAGAGCATGCACCGTGCTCTCTCCAACAATGTTTGGTTCATTCTTTATGCAACGCCATTTGCTGGGGTGTATCTCTCACAGTCCGATGACGGGCAATCCCTTCATCCTTGCAGAATTTGTTGAACTAAGAATTACAGAACTCCAGACCATTGTCCGTTCGCAGCTTCTTGATCTTCTTCCCGGTCTGATTCTCCACCAATGTCTTCCACTGCTTGAACTTCGTGAAAGCCTCACTTTTCTGCATCATCATGAAAATCCAAGTAAATCTCGAATAAACATCAATAATAGACAGAAAATACATGCTGCCTCCAATGGATTCAACTCGTGAAGGACCCCAACAGTCGGAGTGGAGGTAATCCAGTATCCCCTTCGTCCGGTGGATACCCTTCTTGGGAAACTTGCTGCGATGTAGCTTCCCAAACACACAATGCTCGCAGAATTCCAAATTCTGCATCTTGTGCCCGCAAAGAAGATCCCTCTTCGACAGAACTTGCATCCCCCGTTCACTCATATGCCCCAATCTCATGTGCCAGAGAGTGGTCATATCTTCCTGATGAACCTGAGACGATGCAACTGCAGCAGAACCAGACAACACAGACCCTTGTAATGCATACAAGGACCCACGCTTCACGCGCTTCAGCACCTTCCTTGAATCTTTGCAGACATACACAACTCCACCTTTTCCTTTGAAACTGAAACCCTTGCTGTCGAGTAGACTCAAGGAGATCAGGTTCTTTGTCATTAGTGGAACATGCCTGACATCATTCACTGTACAGAACGAACCATCATGTGTCTGAACCTTTATGGACCCGATTCCAACAACCTTGCAGACAGCTCCACTAGCCATGACCACGTTACCACCATCTATCTGCTCGTAGGTTGTGAAGCAATCCCTGTTCGGAGACATATGGTATGAGGCTGCAGTATCCAGAAACCACACATCCCCACGATGTGCCTTCTCATCTACAGCCAAGGCGAGATCGTCTTCAGAAATGTTGTCTACTTCTGTCACGGCAACTGAACCTTGTTTCTTCTGTTGCCCTCTTCTCTTGGGACAGTTGTACTTCCAATGCCCCACTTCCTTACAGTTGTGACAAGCATCACCTGGATGTGGTCCGGGACCCTTGGAATTTTTGTTTGAATTCCCTTTACCAGATTTCTTCTTTCCCTTTCCACCTATAACAGCCAAACCCGATGCTTCACCACCTGTACCAGAACCAGACGCCTTATGCCTGATCTCTCTCGTATGAAGAGCAGACCTGACATCCTCCAACGAAACGCTTTCTTTACCAGCAATAAAAGAATCAAAAAAAATTCTCATATGAACTCGGCAAAGAAACCAGCAGGATTAGGGCAGCATCCTCGTCATCAACTTGAACATCTATATTACGCAGATCCAGCAAAATAGAGTTAAGCTATTCGAGATGTTCCCTCAAAGGCGTACCTTCTTGCATCCTCAAGCTGAACAACCGTTGCTTGAGATGCAGCTTGTTGGTTAGAGACTTAGTCATGTATAGACTTTCTAGTTTCAACCACAAGCCCGCGGCAGTCTTCTCAGCAGCGACTTCAATGATGACGTCATCAGACAACGATAGCATGATGATCGAGTGGGCCTTCTCCTCCAGGGTATACCACTCATCGTCATCGACCGCTTCCTTCTTCTGTTTCGCAGACAGCGGCCCCCACAGCCCTTGCTGTTTTAATAAAGCCTGCATCTTGATCTGCCATATAGCGGAGCTGTTCTTCCCCGTGAACTTTTCGATCTTCGAGTTCACCGACGTCATTCTTCTGAATCGAAAACCCTAACCTGATTTCCAGCCTCGGCTCTGATACCACTTGTTATTAACGCGCTGCTACGGATCGGGAAATCGCCGGAATTGACAAAGCAAGAATACGAAAGTGAGAATCGAAAAACACAGACACACGATTTACGTGGTTCACTAACACGATGTGTGTTAGCTACGTCCACGGGCGAGAGAGTCAGTTTCACTATATCATGGAGATTACAGATTACAGAGGAGTATGAGAAGTATTTATAGTACTTCTCCATGTGTATGAGGAGTATGAGAAGTATTTTTAGCTACGTCCCTCGATTACCAGTCGTAGCGGCTGATAGTCCGATTCAAGTCACATCAACAAATCTCCACCTTGACTTGAATCCTCTTCCCCTGAAATCTCTGATGTACTCTGCTCCTTCTATCTATCTCTCGCCATCAATGCTCCTTCTATCTCTCTCTCGCCATCAATGCTCCTACCAGTCGTAGACAATATCACCGCCGACTGCAAAGTTGCCTTCCAGCTCACTACAGAACTCCCAAGAGTGAATACATAACCGGTCATCGATCTCCTCGTGTCAACATCTCCAGCATAGTCCGAGTCAGAATACCCAGACACCAAGCACTCTGTATCACTTCCGAAGCTAATCCCCACATCAGGTGTACCCTTAAGGTACCGGAAGATCCTCTTCACAGCCTGCCAATGCTCCTTCCCAGGTTGTATCATACACCTGCTGACAACACTAACAGCATGTGCAAGATCAGGTCTAGTGCATACCATAGCGTACATCAAGCTACCTACTGCACTAGCATATGGGACTCTCGACATGTACTCCTTCTCAGCCTCTGACTGCGGTGCATACGCTGAGGATAGATGAACATTTGAAGCACTAGGAGTATTTAAGGGCTTTGCTGAAGACATGCCAAACCTCGACAGTATCTTCTAGATGTAGCTCTTCTGTGACAAGAAAAGCTTCTTCTTCGACCTGTCCCTATAAATCTCCATACCCAAGATCTTTTGAGCAGCTCCCAAATCCTTCATCTCAAACTCAGCACTGAGAAGCCCCTTTAACTTCTGGATATCAGACTTCGACCTCATAGCTATGAGCATATCATCCACATACAAAACTAGATATATCATCGAACCATCCTCTGCCTTGCTGTGATATACACAACAATCATATGGACTTCTGTTGTAGCCCATCTCAAGCATGTAACTGTCAAATCTCTTGTACCACTGCCTCAGAGATTTCTTAAGTCCATACAAGGACTTCAGCGAGACCCCTGATTACCAGTCGTAGCGGCTGATAGTCCGATTCAAGTCACATCAACACAAGTTTTTGTGGCTCAATGAGGAAGCTCCTCATACTCCTTCACAACAGCATCCCCTAAACCATTGTACGTACTTCTCCAGATTCTCCATTGCTCCCAAGTGTTCTTAAACCTCATCTCCCCCAACACCTTCCTCGAATACTTTCCATTCACCCGATAGAACCTTCAATTAACAGCCACAAAATCTGGATTCAACTACCAAAAATCAACTTTTCCCCCTTCTTTCTGACCGTCTTCCTCTTCTTCCCATCAGCAGCACCTTGATGCCTATTCCTCTTCACGTATAACAAAAGGCTTCCCCTAAACTCAACAAATTTTCTCTTCCCATAGATTCTCGAACACCCAGCAACTACAAATGAATACAAGGAATCATGGAATTGACAAACAATTAATATAATCAAGCAATTTGGAATTGGACGATCAAACTAAAGCTATCTCAGCTGCGAATTAAACCTAGAATTGAATGCTAACAAAATAAAGCTATATCACCAGAAATAATCCTCTATATGAATCCCTAAGTTAGTGAATTACCCGTTCTTGCTTTCAGTCGAAGCCGTTCACCCTTCAATTCAACGCAAATTCACCGTCGCCACCATTGTCACCATCTATTTGTTCATCCTTCACTCAAATCAGCCGCATTTGTTGCTGTTGTCTTTGTACATTCGTCGTAAGTCGAAGTCACCAACAATTCGTTTATCCTTCTCCCAAATCAGATGACAGTGGCGGCTGGCTAGCAGGGAAGCTCCGATGAGCGACAAGCTCAGACGACGAGCACTCTTCATCTTCTCTGCGTGACGAGGTGGAGACTGAGAGGAGATTTGTTCCCTCGCAGAGTGGCCGACGACCGACGAGCCAATAACCACGACAGGACTGCGATGCTGGCCAGAGGCGATAGGCGAGGTGGAGTTGGCGAGGAGATTGGCGAGGCAAATAGGGAGACCAAACTTATTAAGATCAAACATACAAGCAAGTAGAGGGTCTCGTACTCAAACACACTATTGTAGTCCTTATTGGGGAATTGACATCAATATAGACATCAACTATCAACGTACTAACAACACATGAAGTCACTATTATCATAATCAATGGTATTAGCCGGGATTTGAAGCAAGGGAGCACTTAAACTGTGGTGATCAATTAGGCTTCACGTACGATTAGTTGTCTTTCTATACCTTTCTTGGGCTTACATTTGAAGCAATGGAGCACTTAAACTGTGGTGATCAATTAGGCTTCACGTACGATTAGTTGTCTTTCTATACCTTTCTTGGGCTTACATTTGAAGCAAGGGAGCACTTAAACCGTGGTGGTCAATTAGGCTTCACATACGATAAGGGCTGCAAATGAGCCGAGTCGGGTCGAGTTTTACCCTAATTTGAGCTCGGCTCATTAATAAACGAGCCGAGTTTGAGCTCGGCTCGTTTATAAACGAGCCGAGTCGAGTTGAGCTCGATCTAACTTGTTTAATAAAATCTCGACTTTCATTTGGTACTTCATTTTGCATATCATGATACATATGATTTATTTTGTTAGCTAATCTCATATGATACTTTGTTGGTATCATATATCATTTAGTTGATAAATTTTAACTACTCCAAATCATGTTATTTCATAATTTCGAAGCAATCTATGATACATAATTTCTTTTTAAAGTAGAAAATAATGAATATTTGCTCACATACTCAATGTGTTAAACTTTATATATGGTGAGATAACAATTTAACAACCAAATGAATTAAAATCATCAGATATAGATTGATTCGTACATAAGTTGGTAATCGAGTTGGCTCTCTAGCCATATGTTGAGACATATCATGAGCTATAAACGAGCCAGCTCACGAGCTTAGCTGAACATGCCACCGAGTCGAGCTACCTCGCAAGCTTCACGAGCTGAACAAAGCTTAGCTCATATTCGGCTCATTTATTAACGAGCCGAGTTTCCTACAAACTTTTCTCGAGTCGAACGCCGAGCCGCTCGCGAGTAGCTCGGCTCTTTGCAGCCCTCGTACGACCATTAAAATAGTCTAGTTAGTTCCATCTCTTCGTATTGAAAGTTATCGTATCTACTCAACATATGTGTGTGTGGCCAAGCTAAGGGCTAACAGTCGATTCATTTCGGTCAGAACGGAATTGTTTAGTCTGATGTCAGTTACAACTAGAGTTGGGAAGAGATCTTGTAGGTCTTCACATATCCTATTTGAGGGCCTATGATTGCGGCTCGTCAATACATGTTATTTTTGGGAGTAACTATGAGGCAACGATCGTAATCAGTCATAGTTCTTACATTGAAATTATATATACAACTGAATACACATTAACATGATATCTATAGCAAGATTTAGGGTTAGCGTTTGAGGTTTTCAATTTGTGAATTGGGGTTGCGATCAAATTTGAAGTTTTAGATTTTAGAATAACACATTAATTAGGTCCGATTATATGTTATATTATATTAGACCATTGTTAGCAGTTCAAATCCAAAATTTGATGTGATAATCATGGAAATTGATGAATTTATTTCCTAAGGACAATGAGTAATTTATCTTGAACAAAAGTAATCCCAAATTTAGAAAGGGAAAGTTCCCTCCACTTGCTTTTGGCTCCGAAAATCCCTTAGCACAGAAAAATACAAAATTTCCCCTCCTTTTATTTTCACAAAAATTCGACCTTCCCACCAATTTTCTTGCCTTCCCCCAAGTCCATTTGGGAGGCAAAAGCAAAATTCACTCTCTTCCTTGTTCTCTCTCGGCTGCGTGCTCTTTTTCCAGAGAAAATGGAGCCAAGTCCATCCGCACCACCCATTGCCGCCAATTCTGTGTCGCCGTTGGTTTCTCCCAACCCCGTCGACTCGGCCCAACTCCATAGGCGACCTGCACTTCTCGTTTCACCATGCTCATATCGGAAGTCCAATCCCAAACCTGTCAAGCAAACCTGCAAACTCGCAAGTTCAGGAGTTACCATGTTCTTCTCCGCCTCTTCTCAATTCCTCTAATTTCAGCGATTATTCTTATATAAAGGTTCGTAGTTTTTCGTCCTCTTTACTAAGTTTAGGAGCGGTTAGCATTGATTTCATGCATCAATTTTGAATTTGATGTTGAAATTTCGCGTTGGAGGTATTTATAGGGTTCGAAATCGAACACATTGGGATGTTCCAGCTTTCACAATACTTACCTTGTGTGACGTTAGTGTTTCAATTCTCTGCTTGTTGTAGGCTAAGGATTCACTTTCACTTTGTCTTGGTGTCAGATTCAAATGGAACTTAGGAGAGACCTTGAGGTTGATGTACTCGAAAGATCTCAGAAGGAGGCTTATGAAGGAGGACGTTATCAAAGTTCTTGGCATTCTAAAGGTAAATTTCTTAGCATTCTAAACTTGGAGAATGTAGAACAAATTGTGTTTTGGCTGCTATCTATTTGATTGATCAGGAACCCTGGAATTAGATAGTGACATTCAGCACTTTTAGAGCTTGTTTAGTGATATGAATTGCATGAGTTCATGGTGGAGTAAAAGTTTGTGGAAAGGATGTTTTTTGGATGAACAGTGAACAATGCTGTAGGGTTCCTAACAGATGAATGGTTGTTTGTTTCCTCTGGTTAGGTTTCAGCAGCTATAGGTTTTGCTTCGGGTGTCTTATCTTGTGTGGAGTACTTGGAAGTTGCTCCATGGGCAGAGGATGAAGAAGAGAAAGTGGCCTCACTTCTATCCGAGCTACAACTTGAAGGAGTTGGGGCAGGAGAACTTCTAAAAAGAGTATCCACTGTAGTCAACAATGGAGTGGAAGAGAGTAGTGACAATGAAGAAGTTCTTGTCAAACTCTTGCATGTAGTTCTGGAAGGAAAAGACGAGAAAGCCAGGCGTGAATTGAAAGGATTGGTTGCCAAAATGCTTCGGGAGAGTGTTGCTTCTCATACCAGTCTCAGAAAGGAGTCCCTGTACGCAGCTTGTGAAGGCTGTTTGCAATTGCTGCATACCCATTTTCTCCAGGCAGCATCAGGAAACATAAAGGATGTTGCACAAATTGCTCGACAAGCTGATAACTTGCACTGGCTATTGGATATAATGATTGACAGACAGATAGCTGAGGAGTTTCTAAAGACATGGGCATCACAGACTGAACTCTCTGAAGCACATTCCAAAATACCAGATGTTCACAGGTACGAGATCAACAAAGTCACAGCAAGGTTGTTTGTTGGTGTCGGGAAGGGACAGATGTTGGCTTCTAAAGAGGCGAGGTGCATGCTTCTGCAGACGTGGTTGGTCCCATTCTATGACGATTTTGGGTGGATGAGGAGGGGCCATAAAGGTTTGGACAGGCATTTGATCATGGAAGGTCTCAGCAACACCATTCTTATGGAGAGTTCTACAATGATCACATGTTAATCTGGCTATCACAGATCGAAAGAGTATCTGAACAGCCTAGACAAGGTATTATGTGTGTGCCTGCATGATTAGTGTTTGCTGTAACATCCCGTTCCGGCAAAACCCATTTTTCGATCGCTAGAAAGTTCGCGATTTAAAATCGAGCATTTCGACACTATTTCGGCGAAAATCGGATTATTGATCGATCGGATAAGTATACGTATTAATTATATATATATATATATATATATATATATATATCCTGTACATTTAAATCCGAGCACCGTTTCATTTCCCATCTTCTTCTTTCTTTCTTCACGTATCGGGAGAAAAACAGACGAGCAAGAGGCGCACAGAGCATCGCCAGGAGAATTTCCAAAGCTCAAATTCTTGAGCTACAGTGATCCAAAAATCCCGTAAGTAATGCCTAATTCATCCATTCATCGTGATTTATCGATTTAGAGCTTTAAAACGAGTTTTTGGTTCAGGAATTTCTTGAATTTCCGATCTGCCAAATTAGGGTTTCGGAGTATCCGGAAGCCGGATTGAGCCCAAATTTCCTATACGAGCTTCCTGCAGCGAGGTAATCAATCCTCTAGTTCTAATCCCTGAATTTCGGCAATTATTTAGGCCGGGGTCCAAACCGCTGAATTTAGCTCCGGCCAGGGTTTGATGTGTTTTTATCGAGAATTTGACCCGGAGCCCAGAACTAATATTGACGGGGATACTGCAGGGGATATTAGGACGGTCTCGGATTTTAATTCGGGGTTCGTTCGAGAAATTGACGTTTTAGTACGGGAAGGTTAAACCGGTGTTTGAACGACCAGAACTGGTGAGGGATTAGCACGGCATATCGGGTTTGTCGTATCACGATAATTATAGTGATGCTTAGAATTGATCTAGGCGAACTAGAATGGCATGATTAGGGGTGTATGGACTTTTGTGCTATATGTTGAACCCTGGATTGCTGTATGATATTATTGACTTGCCCTAATCGATATAAACCTTGTTTATGCTGATGATTGTGTATATGTTGCAAATTGTGGGCTTGACTATTAATATGCTTTACGATGGTTCGAGAAGGTGATTAGGTATGATTTTTCATGATTGTTGTATTTGGATGCACAAGTGGGGAAATATATATTCCCTGGTGATATTATGATGTTTAAGGAGGATGACTTGCACGAGGGTTTATCCCGAGGAAGTGCAATTATACGACTCCTAATTTACCTATGTTGAGCCAATTATGGCCAGGTCAAGTACATGTGCAAGTAACGAATTATGATTAAACAAGATGAGATATGAATCATGCATAAGGATACCAATTATGAGTGTTGTGGTCTCACGGTCAACTACATAGTAATTAGGGCTCCCTATGCTATTACTCTATTATGATATGATAGTCACACCTCTCATGTGGTGGGGACTGAAGAATTCTTACGAGATATGACCACACCCAGAGCGGTGTCGGGGTATGACTACACCCATAGTGGTGTGGGGTATGTATGACCACATCCGACGGGATGTTGGGGTATGTATGACTACATCCGACGGGATGTGGGGTATGTTTCCCGGGAGAGCTATTAGCATGGGAGTAGCCAGGCGCCTA